CAGTTGATCTGTAATACGTACGGATGAGACCCTACCGTTCGGCACGTACGTGATTCGCAGATTAATTTGCCAATTACACGTACAAGCAATTTTAAACCACAAGAAGAAGAAACAAAAGAGAGCTCAATTCGTTACTCACGCGCTGTTCTCGCACACAATCAAAGCACGCACAAGAGACGTGTTTCAGACAGCGCGGAAATTCCGAGTTGCGTATACATAGGCTACACATAAAATTAGCCTATGTCAAAAACCCTTCACGGCATTGTCATTCTCTGTGCTTTAAATATTTTTTTTCTTGCTTATCCGAAAAAATTGTCCGATCTTTGGCTAAAAAAACCACACAATATAATGCGTTGAACCACTAGGCTATATAATGCTATTATAATAGCTACTATATAATAACCTAATATATATATGTATTAGGCTATACATATCCCCCCCGCCCCCCGTCCAGCCGGTCCACAAGAATAATTTCCAAACGTAACCGGTCCATGGTGTAAAAAAGGTTGGAGACCCCTGCCTTAGATTACTGGGGTCTAGCAGGACAAAATTTCCATTTGCTCTCTATTTGTTCTCATTTATGTCTATCAAAAAACAGTTAACACAAGATTTTTATTTCCTAAGGGAAAGCACTACTCACAATCTCTTTGACAATCTTGTCCACTACGCCCTTGTCCTGTAGGTTGTGTACGTAGCGGGCAGCCGGAGGACTGGCCAGGATCCGCAGCTGTTCTACATTGGCAGCGGATGTGAAACCTACTGTGAAGAATTTAATCCCTTGGTTCTTGGCATCAGCTAAAGCAGAGAAGATATCTGGATTCTTGGGATGCGACTCGCCGTCGTACAGCAGAATGGCCACCTTCACGGTGCCAGGGCCAGACTCCTCCAGATAAATGCGTGTGAGGTTGGTGATGGCGTAGGTGGTGTAGGTACCGTGCCCTATGTATGGCATGGGGGCGATGCGGTCCTGGAAGGTGGGTACGCCCCTCCAATCTTTGAAGGACTGTTCAGTGATCACATGACTGCTGTACTGAAGGAGAGCAGTTCTAAAGTTCAAGCCCTGTCCGGTTTGGAGTCGGATGTTCTGGATCCGGTCAACGAGATCAGTAACAAAACGCTTCTCTTGGGCATGGTTGTCTTTGGCGCTTTCTGAACTGTCCACCAAAAATGCCAGTTCCAAATTACAGTCCTCATCTGAAAGATGGAAAAATGACAAAAAAGTACTAAACATTAACCTAAAAATATAAATTTTGTTATTTAGACACAACACGTCAGATTTTGACGTCAATAACATTTTCAGACAACTTTGTTTCTTGTGTGTATTGTGACCAAATATTGATATAATTTGATTTGAGTTTTATGGTGTTTCATGATGTTTTTGTCTTTTTTGTCAATCAATCAATCAATCAATCAAAACAACATACCAATGTTATTATTGTTAACAAAAACTGAAACCATGAAAAAAAATCATTACTTGAAATAAAACAAATAACTTAAAATAAAATATAAAAAATTCTAACTTATTTTCTTTCAGCAAGTGGACTAGCCAACATTGCATTTTTGTAACTAAATGTAACTAAACTAAAACTACTTCTTAATAAAAACTACAGTATAGAGGCACATTAAAAAAAAACTAATAAAAATGTTTTTTTTTTAAAACATAAAATTACTAAAATTAAAATGAAAACAGAAAATCTAAAAATACAATTGAATTCAAAATATTAAGCAAAACTGCAATAGTATATCTGCAATAGTATAAAGTAACACTGCAGCACATGGGTTTGGGACAACATGAAGGTGAGTAAATGTTTAGTATACATTTTTTTTGGGTGAATTATTTCTTTAAGTGAGACTTGGAATAACAAAGTGACAAAAATGCTGACTTGTGTGTTTTGACACAAAAGGACAGCCAGTGACTCCTATTTGACTTGAATCTTTTGATAAATGCTTAGGTAATACATAAATAACGTAAAATGCCAAAAACAAATGTAAATGTAAAAGCAAATGTGAACCAGCTGAAATGACCCCAGTCTCCAGTAAATCACATTTCTGATGATTAAGAAACATGTCAAATAGGAAATTTGCCCCAGGACAGTGAGCAGGGTTTAGATCAAATTCAGAAGCCCTGGAGAGCAGAGCAGACCGTAAGGCGGCTAACTTCACATATGAACTTTTCTTGCTCCTGAGAAGTATTTAAATCAGTTTCCTTTGTTAATTTCATTTCTTAATCAACCACACCCTGTTGATGCATGAATGAAATCTGTTGTGATTATCTCACACCACCTGCACCAAAAACTTGGAAACCAAATGGTCTTTTGAATTGAAAGCAAATACAGTATTTTCCAAGCCACCTGCTCACCTATGTACCTATGTTCTTGTGTTGAACACCAAGAAATATTTACCATTGTTTTTCGGGATGACATTAGAGGTGATTGGTTTATTTTTGTTTCTTCCATTTCTCTTGTCTTCTACATTAACATCATCATCATCATCATCATCAAGATCGTCCAGCTGAGCCAAAACAACCTGCACTCCCAACAGCAAAACCAGCCAGCTTACACACAGCCGTATCATCACTACAGTAGGAGAGAGACAAACAGATGCCAACACAGTATTAAGAACATATTCTCAAATGCATCACATGCACTGCCTCATTCAAAGTGTGCAATCAGTGTCTGCTTATTTAATTTCCACCCTAAATACTCAAAACTTAACATTAACATAATTTCATTTTTTTAAAGTGTAATAGCAAAAAAGTTATTTTCTCATGAGTCTCATTATTGTATTTTCACTCATCTTTCTGAACTATTTTAATATATTACTGAATTATAAATTGCAAATGCAAGCAAAATGTACACTTACTGTGTGAAGCAGCTCTAATTTCAGTACAGTACCGGTATGAGTCCAACCAAAAATCAGCAGCTGAATGATGAAGATGAGCAGCTCATTACGGAGTTCACAACCTCTTCTCTGCCTGAGATCCACATGCAATAAAAAGATGCATACAGAATGACTGAGAATCACTGGATATGTGTGAAGACTGCTTGGGTTTGCTGTAAAAGACAAGAAATGTAATACTGTGCATCAGCTCCATTCATGTGAATCATCTGCTGCCATCCAGAGGAACACTAATATCCAGAGCTCCTCCTGTGAACCCACCCATTTTTACATTTGCTGCATAATTTATAAGACGCATGACTTTGCATAAATGTAACAAAGAATGTAATAATTTTCAAAGCAAGTGCAGTTATAATATTTTCATTTTCAAACAATATATTGCAATTTATAACAGGTTTTACATTTTAATGCACCTTAAAATGTTCATTAATTACTGATCTGTTAAGCATTATTTTATTTTTGTTATGGTGAAAGTTATAAAATTGTTCTCAAAAATGCATTGAAGGAACAGTTCATCCAAAAATTAAAATTTGCTGAGAATTTACTGCAGATTTGGAGAAATTTAGCATTACATCACTTGCTCACCAACGGATCCTTTGTAGTGAATGGGTGCCGTCAGAATGAGAGTCCAAACAGAATGAGATTCCAAGGCGTTTTTTAAACTTTAAACCGCTACGTCCAGCTAAAATACGAGTCCTCTATCAATAATATTTCTTTTTCCAGTGAAAAAGTCATTTAGTCTGAATCAGGAGAGAAATATGCACAGATCAAGCACCGTTTACAAGCCAAAACAGTTCTAAACAAATATGTGGGTGGATTTTGATTTGAGAAACAACAGGAGATGGACTTTTTCACTGGTGCAAGCATTATTATGGAATATGGACTTGAATTTTGGCCAGAAGTGAAGGTTTAAAGATAAAATGTCTTTCTGATGGATTTGTTTCTTACAAAGGCAGCTTTTTGCTTCACAAGATGTTAACTGACGGACTGCAGTGGTGTGGATTACTTGTGGATTATTGTGATGTTTTTATCAGCTGTTTGGACTCTCATTCTGACGGCACCCATTCACTGCAGACTCAGAGGATCCATTGGTGAGCAAGTGATGGAATGCTAAATTTCTCCAAATCTGTTCTGATGAACAAACAAACTCATCTACATCTTGGGTGGCCTGATGGTGTGTAAATTTTCAGCAAATTTTCATTTTTGGGTCATCAGCTATATAATGGCTTCATACTGCTTACTGTCTATCTCTATAATTCTTCAATCTGATAACCATTCTTTCTGGCTAATTGTCAAGAATCTTGTGAATTACCATTAACAACACAACTGTGTGTGCCTTTTCACTTGCCCTCACCCATACAACGTGAAAGTGCCTGCTTTTAGCTGCCATGTAGAAGTAGGGCAGACTGTTTCAGTAAATATTGTGGAATAAGGTACCACTGAAGGTTATGAGAAGCATAACAATCATCGTTTCACTCGCCAGGAATAACGCATCTCCTGTATGTGTGCGTTTCATTCTCTTTCCATGATTCCCATGAAATCATGATAATGGACGCAGAATATCAGAGCAAGTTTTGTGGAAGTGGTAATCGGATTTCTAAGAGGTGAATTATTCATTCAAACCAATATGACATTTACCAATTAAATCATCTATGAGGTACATTTGTGATTTTTAATGTACAAAAAGGAATCTTGAAACTAAGCATAGCTCTGAATGAATCTGTACGTAAAAATTACTGTACGTGTCAGCCATGTCTCAAAAATACTTAAAAGATTCAAGGAAAATCTCCAGCATGGATCGTTAACGTCCTGACCTGTTGTGATATACAGCTGCTGACTTACAAAGACTTATAGATTTACAAAGAGTTAATGAGGTACTGAGAAAGAGCTGAAATCAGGCAGAGGATGATGGGAAATGAAGTCCCAGACTGAATGACAAAGGTATAGGTGGCTATCAAGGGCACTCCAGCTGGTGACCATGACACTGTTATTCCTGCTAGTTGAAGTTGCATTACTAGTAACTAGTAACACTACATGATTAAAAGCTAAATTGACGTGCCATACATTTCACCTATAGCATGAAATACCCCATGACATTGTTCACCTGCACTTCATCTGTGTTTTCATACAGTTGAATCCAAGAAAGCTGAACCTCGTCGAGAGCAGCCTGACATCCATCATCAGCCTCACACAGATCTCTGGACATCTTTACGGCCTCTTACACACAGTGAAGTCAGAAACACCTGAATAAAAGTCAGTCAGGTTCATCTCATATATCAGCATATAGCACTACAGAGGGATTTGTTTTAATGATGCAGAAATTCTTCAAGATCTGTAAAGTTATATAGCATTACACATGACACTATGAAGTTACAGTACCATTTATGAGTCAATGCCATGTGTGTATTCTGCCTGAGGATCTTTATCATTTATGTTCAGATCCATTATAAAACAAGAGGAGCATGCCATAATGATTATATGAAGAGCAGAACAGACACAGGCCTAAGTGAGTTCCAAAATCAAGTCTGTATAATTTCAAACAAATAGGATTAACTTTTTGTGTCAGACTGGATTTACACAGATGATATGTAAAATCTGAAGATATGAGCTGAGGGAAACATAAAGATGTTTAAAAGAAGACACTTATTAGTGAGAGAACTCTATGATAGTTTAGGTGACTGTATTAGAGATTTAGTGGTCTTTTGGGTAAACAGAAAATAACACTTTTAACACTCTCACTAGTTTATTAGTGTACTAACAATGGACATGCATATATCACATGAGAATATATTTGTAATATTTCCCCTCCTGAACCTTTTATGAAAATTTTCACTGGCATTTCCACCACATGTATAGAGTTAAAAATGTTATGTTAGAAATGAGCATTTACATTTTTTGGGGATTAAAACTTCACAGACAGCATTTTATGTAGCTTAAATAAACACAATTTCCATTTTCACATAATAATAAAAAAAAAAACAGTTTGACTGGAAATGCTGTATATACATTAAAATGATTCAATATTCCTCTTGTTTATTTAGCATGGAAAACATGCCTCAGCTATTGGATTTTATTTTGCTTCATATAATAAACATTTTGAACCTACATGATGAAATGATTAAAGTTTGGTCCCTCTGAAAAAAAAAACAAATCAGAGTAAAAAATTAATATCGAGGTATACTGAATATCACACGAAAGCTGAAAAATATAGGCCTATGCAATAGTGCAATTATCCTGTATGATCATGTGCCAGCAGAGAGCAGCAGAATCCTGTTTTTACATTTCATTTTCTGTATGGAGCCTTTAGAAGGTGTACTACACTATTGATTGCACAAAATACCAGAACCCTGACAGTTTAAACCAAACCAAAATTATTTTCAAAAACTAAAAATAGATGTTCAAAACAAAGTTTCACAATAGTAATAAATACCTCAAGGATGTATTAGTCAGTTTTTTGTGAAAGCACTGATGCTACTGCAGAGTGACAAGGCCATAAACTCACGCATTTGCCTCCAAACTCCCAAATGTCTGATTCCCAGCATCCTCTGACTTATTTGCATTTAGACACATCTCTCCAAAGACCAATACCTGGGTGCAGACACTATGTAAAAAAAAAAAAATAATAATAATGGAATAAGAAAGTGCACCATATGTGAAGTTGGAAACAAAACACATTACCATCTGTAGGATTGTTTCGGTCAAATGGGTGAAATCTGGCATCCATTTCATTCCTTTGGATAAAAGCGTCTGCTAAATGACTAAATGTTAATTTCATAGTAATGTGTGATAAGTAACGAACCCACACACTATCAATACTTAAACTTTATTAAACGCAACGTTTCGTTCCACTGACCTTCATCAGGCAATTAGCAAGTATTGATAGTGTGCGGGTTCATTACTTATTTTTGATTCAACTTTTTGTTTGATTTTGTTCCCATGCACCTATCCTCGTTTCAGGTGTGCTGAGTTTACATTGATATAGTAATGTGTGATAAATTCTGTATGTGGAGTTTGTCTGCTTTTACGAATATGAGAAATTTTAACACAAATAAAACAAATTTTACAGAATTAACAATTTTATTAGATTGCAGAAAACGGATGTGAATATGCAAACAGAAATTGCGTACAAAAAGACACATTGTTGACAAATGTTATGTTAAATTTTTTCCCCTAGATTCTTTCTTTTTTTAGACTCCAATTCATCAAAAAAAAAAAAAAAAAAGGCCGAAAATCCACCTTCTATCACATGGTTTTTCACTGAGCACACAAATGAATCCTTGAAGAGAACTAGAGGATCTGACATGCCTATTGAAATAACAAATGACTTCTTTTTCTTCTCACAATAATGTTAATCTCATTCCTGAAAAGGGCAATATTAAAGACTGGGGGAGAAACTGCCAGTTTTTGATGAATGTATTAAAAGACCAACAAAAACCAGAGGCATCATATTCTACCAGCCGATTGGTGGATTCATTTCCCCCTCAGTCCGTCCCCCTCCTCCTTGTTTTAACTAGCAAATTAGTAATATCATAGACACAAGATGACAACATGCGCACAAAACAAGATGTTTTGTGGACATAATTCATTCATAAAGCCAAAAAGGGTAATTTCTCACTGTCTGTTGTCTCGTCTCGATCTCCTCGAGGGTCTCAGGGGTGATGCAAGAGCGGCCACAGGCTCTCATGCTGA